AACATAGTTTATTATTTCTACTTAGAAGTACATCGATATAGTTTGTATGTTGCTCAGAACATATGTACTTTTTTCAGGCGCGGATTTGGGATACTTTGAAACGATTTGAAGAAACTTTATCGCCAGGCTGTCGGAGAGCTCAGAAAAGAAAGAAAGAAAAGCAACTGCAGTCACACAGAAGAGGGTGAGTCTATGCAAATGTATATCTTTGCATACGAAGGCCGACAAGGCTCTTGACAATTTGAATTGTTTTCATTACCGAGGGAAATGTTGTGTTTGTATTGTTCCCATGATTACAATGAAAAGAAACAAGTAGACGTTGATGCTTGATGAATGGAGCCTTTTCATCTGGACAAAATTGTTGCTGTCTGACGTTAAAAACATTCGTTAAAAATGATAAATGACTTCTCCTCGAAATGTGTCCATACAGACGTCCGCATCTTTGCCAGGCTTGTTTATAAAACGTCTAGTACATGTACACGTAACTTTAAATGAAATTCAAAAATGCCTTCGACTTTTGACTTAGATTTTCGTTTTTCCATGTCCTGCAGGCCAGGCTGGAGGCAAACAGGCAGACTGCACACCCAGGCTCAGATCTAAAGGCGAGGGTGCTGTGTTAAAGCGCCCGGCAGGCTCCGACGACCCAGGCCGGCCCCGCTGCACTCCCGCCCGGGGTGCACCCCGCGCCCAGCACGCCGCTCCGGCCTGACTGCGATCACAACCGACACCAACACCACGCCATCCCGCAGACAGACATGGGGCAGTTTGTCCTTCCAGGATGAAAACATTTCGCTATGGTCCCCTGAAGCAAGGGGGGGGGGGCATACCTCCTGGCCTTCAATCTACAACTAAGCCTCATTTTGTAGAAGCGACAACGCAAACTTTACGAAACCGACAGCTTGTCTTTAACGACATTGTAAATTGAATACGTGTTCATGTAATTCCAGGCTCACTGAGATATTTGTGTCCAGTGTGCTATGGGTCTGGAACCCAGGCTATTAATATCTGAGCAAATGATCATTTTTGTAACGACGTGATATTGTTTTCTGCCAAGCCTCATTTAACTTCATGTTAGGTCTGCCATTATGTTTTTGCTACACGTACATGTATTTTGAAGAACTTTGTTTGAGGCCTTCTTTGTTTATTGAAAATTTAGTCTTTTGACTGTTTGTGTAAGCGCCATTCACTTTCATGATCTGAGGGCTATTTTCCTCTTTTTAACCTGATGATATGTCAGTATTAGTTACTTTTTGACATTTTTTGCTAAAATGGACTTCTATTTGGAGGTGACTGTGATGAGATGTGATGTTAGTTTACTTTTTAAAGTTAGAGAAATCTGTTAATTACTAGTAATTTCTGAGTTTACACCGGGTCCAACGATTTTAAAAGTCTAGTCCCTGGAAGGCTAGTTCGGGAAA